CCCCAAAACCCCAAAACCCCAAAACCCCAAAACCCCTCTATAAATTTTATAATAAATCAACAAAATGGCAAAAAATTTCAACTTCAGGCAATTAGAGAACAGTATCTTTGGATATTATCATTTAGCTACAGAAGAAGGAATTCCAGCACAGAATATTGGGTGAGAAGTAGAGTGAGAATACTGATGTAAATAACTCTGTATGAGCTTCTAAGACAGGTAACTCAATACTTCATCAAATATAGACTGCAACCAGACATTGCTTATATTTTTGATCATACTTGGATGTCTCTTATTCATATTCTCTATTTGACTCTTAATCAAGTGAATATTTTCTCACACTAAGGTTAAATCCTTATTATCCCAATGGTTTGAATTGAGTAAGCTTGATCTTAAATTAAAATAGGGAAATAGCGAGGAAGAAATCAAAGGTAATTCTTTCAAATAACATTAGAAATGGACAAGCCTTCTGAGCCTGACAGAATAGGTCTCACATATGATGACCACAACACATTGTTGAATCATAACGTTCACTCATTGAGAGGAAATAATTTTAAATTTGGTCAGAATAATTCACGGAAGGATTATTCAAAATACGCAACCTTCAAAGGAAGAAAAATTGACTCTGAAGAGCTGAAGCTTAGTAAAAGTAAGTAAATTCTTCTTAATTTTTCGCAAAATTTACACTTATCTTCCTACAGTGCCCTCAGCAGATACTGACTTGAAAGAAGAAGACTCGAGGGAACTTGTACGAAAATAAAGACTCAAGGAAGGGCAGAAGATCCAGAAGGATTAACAAAATCCCTGAAAACAGTAATCCAATTTTATCATTTCTTCGTAACTATCTTTAGCAATAAATGAGCTCAAGCCCAGCAATGAAGAAAATGAAAATTTCTCAAAAATAAAAGCCTTTGAATTACCCGAGGATTATCAGAAGAAAAAGAGGAAGAGAAATAGTGGGACTATTCATCTTGATTCTGAGAATTTTAATTTCAGCAGGTAAGTAAACTTCTCTAACCTTAAGTGAGTATAAATATACCAAGGAAAATTTGGAATCACGAATAGGGAAGGAATTCATAAACGGTAAGATCCCTTTCTAATCCCTATAGATCTTCCTGAAAATGGCGAGGTTAGTAATCTCTTCCAACATATAGAGCTGAATGATCGGCATTGGAGGAAAAGTTGCCAAAAAGTAAATTCCCACCGTAAGATTCAAAAAATTTAAAAATTTACGGGGTTTTGGGGTTTTGGGGTTTTGGGGTTTTGGGG